GTCGGCGGGGCCGATGCCGCGTCGTCGGCCATGGCGGCGGGTTCGCTCCGGGGGCTCTGGCGGCTGCGAGGGGATTAGGGTTTTTTGGTGGTGCGCGCGTCTGGACTGCCTGCTTGGTGGTGGCCTGGTGGATAGGCTGCGATGAGTGAAGAGGAGAGGACGAGGGACTCCACAGCCGTCGGATCAGCATTTGAAGGGGCTGCTCCCACAACGTTGGGTTGTCTCCATCTCTCTTGGTACCATTTTCTAGTGTTCTAGCAACAGAATCCTGCCCAAAAAAATCTCATTTTGCATATGTTCTATGGATTTGGTGATTATGATAAGGCACTTAAGATAACTATAATGGCATTGTATTGGCGTTCAAAATACTAGTTATATTGTTAAGTTTATTTAGGGCCTCGGAATTGGAGTCTGATTCAATCCCTGCACCAGGTTATACCATCGGGCTATAGTTGGATTGGAGCATAGTTTAAAAATTCGAACTGGACTGGTGGTTCCATGGAGAAAATGGGAATCGGTGCCTGTCGAACCAATGAGGGATTTGTGATCAGGCACTTTCGAGCCACCAAACGGGACAATCAAACTACAATTGAAATCGAAAAACCTTGCGCCTTTGGTTCGCCTTAAAATGTGTGCACCTCTCCTATGGGTTTTCTGTGTAATAGTTTTCATTACTTTCTAGTTGCTTCCTAAAACAGTTGCAAAAATTATGTTACACTATTGGTTTGTAAAATTAATTGCTCCTGGAAATCTTGTGTGTAAAAAAATGCAATTCAATTTATTCTCTGCGCTTATGTTTTAAAAATCTATTCAACAAAAAAATAACGCAATTTAAAGTTTCTTATTTTGATTTGCACATTTTTATTTCCATTATATGTGAACCATTCTACCGCCAATTTCAGTCATGCTTTAACCATTGTTTCAAATTGAGATAAGTCCATGTTATAACCTCGAACTACCATCAAAGTCTATAACACAACCGTGATCTACGAAATCGTTTATGTAAGTGCATCTAGTGCCACCCCTAGTTGGTTTTGGAGTATTAACGACAAACCTAGTTGAGGGACTAATGTGTTTGTGAGAATTGCAGGATAACACAGGTAGAAGTCCCTCATTGATTCGGTTTTACTACCAGAGATGACCCCTAAAAATGTATGAAGACATTGAAGTCAAAGGGGGTATATGAAGATATTCATATTGAAGACTATGACAAGAGAAGACACTATATGAAGCCTATGGAGCTCGAAGACTTAGATCTTTTGTAGTTCTTTTTCTTTTGTGTTGAGTCATAGGAACCACCGTACTGTTAAGTGGGGTCCAAGAGAACTAGTCAGAATGACTGAAGTGATGCCTAAACCAAAAAAACCTATGTCTTCGAGTGAATACTATAAGAGCGAATCTTGTCCAGAGTCGGACAAGTCAGCTTTGCTTGTAGCCCAAGTAAAATTGCCGTGTGAGTTTGAAATCTAACCGTTGGAACACGTGTCAGTTCCTTAGTGACCCAGGGTCATTTCGGACAAATTAGGTCGGGTTGCCAAGTGGCTATAAATAGCCCACCCCCTACAACCATAAATGGTTGGCTGCTCAGATTGAAAGTACGGCTTTTGTCGTTTGAGAGCAACCCACCTCGAAGCCTTTGAGAGAGAATTCCTTGCGAGAATAAAGCCCTAACCACCAGAGCCAGAGAGAATTGGGCATCACTTAAGTCTTCTTGTCTGTGTGATCTGAAGACTTATTACACTTGAGGACTGTGCATCCTCCAGCCGATTAGGCGTCGCGTTCTGAGCATCCAAGAGACATTGTGGATTGCCGGTGAACGAAGTCTGTGAAGGTTTGGGAGTCTACCTTGAAGACTTACCAGAGTGATTGGGCGAGGTCGTTGTGACCTTAGCTCAAGGATAATACGGTGAGGACTGGGTGTCCGGGACTGTGTGTCCTAAGGTTTAAATACCTAGCCGCTCCAACCAAACGTACAGTTGTCACAGCAACTGGAACTGGTCCAACAAATCATTGTCTTCAACGAGTCACTGGTCTCATCTTCAATTCACTTTACTTACTGTTACTCCTTGTGAAGTCATTGTATGTTTGCACTATCATTTGTCTTCACTGAGTGACTGCATGTTCTGTTTGGCTTCACCATATCTTTCTACCTGATCCTTACTACCTAGCTGCTATTAGTCTTTGTGCTTTCACTTCATTGAATACTTGACTATGGTTTGCCTAGTGTAGTCTACCTTCCGCTGCATGGTAATAGGTTTAATTTTATCGTTTATCTTCAAAACTTCTATATTCTGAAGACTTTTATAAAATCGCCTATTCACCCCCCCTCTAGTCGATATAACGCACTTTCAGTCTAATATACAACACTCAACTTTCAAAACCAGATAAAAAACAACCCTGGGTTGGTTTTGACTGGTTTTAACCATTTTTGACCAATTAACAGCCTAGTCAGCGCCAAGTCGTACGCCATGTCACCATCTCCTGAACCTAAAATTTGCTTCTATTTTTTACCCAGCAGGCAAAACTTCTTGAAACTTCCACAGTCTAAGGGTTGTGTGGATTTTTGAGAACTTTTTCAAAAAAAATGGAAGCTTTTTTTGGTCAAAATTTGAAACAAAAAAGCTCTGAATTTGAATTTTCACTTTAGTTTATAATTAACAATTTTTGAGACTTTCCCAGATTGAACATAATGGTTGTGTGGGTTTTTGTGATTTTTTTTCATTTTTTCTGGGAAATTTTGTTTGCGAAAATTTGACCCAAAAATGACTTGGCGTTGACTAGGCAGTTGACTGGTCAAAACCGATCAAAAACCACCCCAGGGTTGTTTTTTTGTCCGGTTTTGGAAGTTTGGGGTTTCAAATTAGACGATTTCGTAGTTCAGGGTTGTGTTTTAGACTTCGGTGGTAGTTCGAGGTTGTAATATGGACTCATCTTTTTCAAATTCAGGGCAGCAATGTTTAACACATCAGTTTTGTTGGATTTTGAAACATTTGCAACTATCGTTAGTTTGTGTTTCCTTTATTTTTCATATGTGCTTTTTGGTTTGCTAACAATTTCGTTGCTTCATACGAAAAATGATAATGTTTCGTAACTTATCATTTGATGCTTTAGCATAAAAATTAATATTTTTAGCATGCTTCCATAAGTGTCATTTGTTGCCTCAACAGTAGAGCATCACATGTAGTTAAAATTCATGTTAGCTTCTTCCAATGCATTGGATATGTGCCTCTAATGCAATGAAAATTTGGTCACGTCAAATAAAGAATTTGCTTCCATGGACAAACATGCTAGTTGATCGACGTACCATTGTTTCTCGCTTGCTTCCTAATTTTTTCCTGCTTGCTTCCGAAAATAAAAGAGAGTCCACTTCCAAAGAGAATAGTGTTTGCTTTTAATGAAACCTTTTTTTAATTATAACATCAGTGCGTCAACCAATGAATATAATTTTCCTCTAAAGCAAAAATTATTTGCTTCTGGTGATAGATTTTGTTCCCATGTACAACAAAAGGCCTGGTGTGCCGTCTTGGCATAATGCCACTATGGTATAGGATCACGCATGCAGGAGGGACATACCAATGGCGCCATTGATGCACCGCTCTACCTTGTCAAAGATATGATGGAAGTCGCGGGACATGTCCACAAGACCATGAAGTCATGGTGCATGCCGACGACGCCATTGATGCAGGCTTAAACATGATTACCGCCGTGTAGACTGGTGTTTTCAAGGAGTGTCATCAAGTTTGGAGGGGACAACCATGAGCAGCAAGGAGGTGGTGGAGTCGGAGGCCAGGGCCCCATCCCATGATCATGGTTTTGCTTGTGTTGTGCTTTAACCACCACCCTCGACGCATTTTAGGCAATCATACCTCCGCCGCTGCATACAACAACATCTTGCTTGTGGACAATCATCATTCGGTGGTAAATTATCTCCTCAATGGTGTGGAAAAAATAGTGTAGACATAAACTAGTATCAGGACGGCGGTGGGATCCCTTATTGGACTTGTGTAGGCATACTGAATAAAATCCTGCGTTGACAGTGCCATGGCCAAAATATCCAGAGACGGCGATATGACACTTGTATATAAACACAGACGTCATCACGGACATGGCACCACGGTAGTGCCATTTGGTGCTTTGTAAACTGAAATAAAGGTCAGGGCCAGTGTGACGATCCACTAACAAGTTGGTGTTAAGATTTGCGTTGTTTGCGTCACCCGGCCTCGACTATAGCTTCTTTATTGCAATTCTAGCAGTTTAGACTATCATAATCCACGGGAATGTATCTGGTGCACCGGTCCCCCATTGTGCATTCAAAAATGTTTGACCAAATCCGGAATAAATGAACATTAATGTATGTTGTCACAAAAATTCAAAATAAAATTCGAAACATTGCTCGAGATAGAAAAATGACAATTTTGACGCTGAATAATACATAACACAAGCTGGACTTCAGTTTTGGCCCATTAGCACATTAATTACAAAATTTTCATTTATGTATCTCGAGCAATATTTCAAATTTTGATTTGAATTTTTGTGAAAACATACATTGACGTTGTGTCAATACACTAAATTTTTTCAAACATTTTTGAGTGTGCAACGGGGTCCGGTGCATCGGTAGCACCAATTGCCCCGGTGCACCAGATACATTCCCAATAATCCACATCGATGTCATACAACCCATAATTAACAAACTATTTCAACCTCCACAATATATTATTCGTACTGAATTTGCCTTCCATCATTCGTGCCACAACAACAGCCAACTCTGGCCTCAAACAGAAGCCCAAGTTAACTCTTTATTTCGCCCAAACGACTCTTTTTCCCGTCGAGAAGTAAATAAGAGTTACAATAATAACTAGTAAAACAAATCTAAGATTCAATTACAACGAAAAGATGCTACATCCGGACAGTGACCTAATTTTGCTGCAAAACAAGAGTTTTTTATAACACACCATCACAGTGCTGCATAAGCTCTCCTCCTAACCCTAAAATACCCCTGTTCATCTCATGTTGCCCTCTCTCAGGACATCGATCATATCATATAATTTCTTGTCCGCCCCAGATCGTATCTGCAGTAGCAAAGCAGTGGTCAACATCAACCTGACTCGACCAAAGCACTAGGCAGAAAATTTCCAGGCAATCACATATTAGCAATCCTGACCTTTGTGTGGAGAAACATGGCGGCATCAACAGTTCCCTCTGCGTATATTGAACGGCCACACACATTGTGCTGGAACTCAAATGATACTCTGCAATAATAACAAGGGCAATTGTTATGTACCGGAAGACCAAAGCTGTTGTGTACTAGGGTTGCAGGGAGAAAGGGGAAGGGCTCTTCCACTGAAGGCAAGATAGAAGAACTATTCTTCTAATTCTCCGCTTGCTTTATTCATCGTAGTCATAGGGGGTCCTCTTGTAATTCTATGCTTGCTTTATTCATCACAAGGAGTCCTCTTCATATAGAGGGCTAACAATCCAAGAAAGCATAACTGTAATTTGCTTAAGGCCTGAGATAAAGATATATTCCCAATTCAAAGGATAAACTACCTAACCGAGAGAATGGGGATCTTATCCAATGACAGGGAGCTGCCAGAGTGGGGCCATGTACTTCGGTACATAATAGTAATTACCTCAGTCCATCGCACTAGACAAGGTCCCCAAAATCAAAACATAATCTAGCATCTTCTGAAAGGAAGAGAACTTACGTTTCATCAGGCGAAGTGAGATGGTAATTGTGAAATGCATGCCCTGCGAGATGTTCTTCTGGGACACCAACAATGGCAAGCTGCTCTTCTGGGTCCCTAACCAAGTTTACCTACACCAACAACATCAAAACAGTGTGAGAAAACAATACAAAACTGCATACCTTTCTCCACATAAGCTCAGATGGCTGTGCTGCATTAGAAAGAAAAGACCAAGTATGCTTATGAACAACCGCATTCAGGACTACTGGACAAAAACTACAATTCATAATAATGAACTAAATCCAAATCAAACTAAGATGCTTTCAAGTTTGAATTGGCACTCAATGTGACATGGTTTAAATCAAAGTAAGATACTTTCATGCCAATTTGAACTTAATGTGACATGAAGTCTAAATAAAGCACCAAACTCCTTAGGTGGTTAACAGGTTGCTGAATATGAATAATCTATGACTGAAATTTGCATTACATGGTGTAAAGTTCCAACTGGGACAGGTAACTGGTAAATTAGATCAAGTGTCCAAGCAGATGACACTTGAAATGGCACTTGAGATGCATACATAAATCTTAACTATTTTTATAGATCATAAATGGCAACCCTTCAAAACTAATCATAAATCAATAAAATCGGAGATAAGATTTCTTCAAAAGGAGTTCAGGATGATGGTTTGCTGAATTTGAAAAGTTCTCTTAAGTTCTGATGGTACCTCGTTCAAGTCAAATGAGACACCCAACTTCTGAAAGCAAGAGATTACAGCTTTGGCAGTGCCAGAAACGTCCAATTTTGTCGCTTGATGAGACTCCATTACCTATGGAAGTATGTTAATTTGATATTTAAAATGGGGTCATTGGTGTCAGCAATGATACGAAACAAAAAATGATGTAATTAGGCATTCAGAAGAAAGAACGGCAGTATTCATATATGGAGGAAAATAAGAAATCTCTAATCATCTGAGTTATACTTACTGGCTGAATAATATTAAATCACCACACAGCACATTTGGACTAAATGAAATGTATCATATTCTCAAATTTGTATATGTTATTATATATTAGCACAACGCCCTGTGTCGTTACGGAGTAAAAATAAATAATGCATCATGTTTAAGACAACATGGCACCAGCCAGGTTCAGGTGCGGGTAAAACCCTAGCCACAAGAACAAAAGAAGTTAAGTTTCCCTATTGTCAATGCAGGAGTAGTTGGGAGTTCAACGCCGTCGGCTCCTAGCCACCACCACCGCAAGCCTAGCGCCACCTCAGCCACCTCCACGGTCGCGCCCAACCCGCTATCTGATCGTAGAGGGGCGCCACCTAGGCACATTGACAGCGACCTGACGCGCACAAGCAGAGAGGGCGTCGGTGCCGGAGCAGTACTACCCTCCACATCGTTATCATCGTGGCCCCGCTCCTTTGCCGGTGACACAGAGGAAGGTGTCCGTGTTGATGCTGATGTCGCACTCCTCCTGCTACGAGAACTGGTCCTCCATGACGTTGTCCTTCGTTCACCATGGCACTGCTAGCAGCTGCTGGCTATGCTCGCCTGTGCAGCAAGGGAAGGGGGAGCGTCAGCGGGATCGTGGAGGAGATGACGGGAGGTTGGGAAAGAGATGGTGTGAGGGGCAGCTGGGCTAACGCTAGGATTAGAGAGAGTGGGGGTATGGGGATGAGGAATTGGGTACTGGGGCTAGCGATACAGGAGGGTCAAGGGGATTGGCCGATCGGCTTCGACCTTTTGGACCTTTAGGTTGGCTTCGACCTTTTGGGCCTTTAGGTTGGCACGTTCAACATGTAATACTTATATGTAGACAGGTATGCGGGTACATGTTTGGCCTTCCTGAACCCGCACGTGCTCTACCCGATGGGTATAAAATTTTTCCCAAGTGTATACCCATGGTTAAAAAAAATACCATACCCTTACCCTAATGGGGTTTTACCCGCGGGGTACGCGGGTATTGGGTACCCATTGCCAATTTTAAGAACATTATGCTATTGGTTGGTCCAAATCAGACCACAGATAATTATTAGTTCTCATCCCAACTCTTTGTGCCAAATCCAATGATGGTCTAAAGATGAATGGGCTGCCATCACCTATTCACTTCTTTATAAGAGTTGCTTGTGCCAAATTGGACCACAGACAAGTATTAGTTCTCATTCCAACTTTTTGTGCCAAATCCAACAGGTGATGGTTCAAAGGTGAAGAGACCGACATTATCGAATCACATATCCACAATAGTAAGAGCATCTTTAGCAGACCCCTCAAAACGCGCGGACCCACAAAATCCCGGCAACTATACGAGCTCGGCCCACTTTTTTGGCTAGAACAAAGCCCGTATACTCGCCCGGTCCGTA